TCTCCCTTGACTCCGACTTCAGCAGCATTAATTTCCAATACCACCTCTCACCCAATAGCTTGTCACTGAAAATGGCTTTATCCTCTGCTCATACTCTCTGTTCTTTGACCATTTTAAGTCCTGATTAATTATCATTGTCTCCAGTACTTTTCCTATTATAATTTTTGGCTGTTGTAATATTCTTGCAGATGCTGCTTCTAATATCCTGGCTCCTTATTCCCAGACCTTCATTTTCCAATGGTTTTATCCTCCATCCACTTTAGCCACCACTTCCCATCGTCAAACCTAGACCTTGTCTTTACCAATAACTACACTGTTGTAGGCATGATATTGAATCCCCCAAAGATATCTACTTTCTAATCCCCAGAATCTGTGAAAATCTTACATTACATGGCAAAGGGAAATTGAGGATGGAATTAAGGTTGCTAATCAGCTGACCTTAAGTAAGGAGACTATGCTGGATTATTTAGGTGGCCCCAATCTAATCACAAAAGTCCTTACATATGGAAGGCAGAAATGGAAGAGGTCAGAAGGATGTTCTGGATAACTCTACCCACTCTCACTGGATTTGCAGATGGAGGAAGATGGCCATGAGCCAAGGAATGTGGTTGGCTTTATGTCCTGGAAAAGACCAGGAAATGAATTCTCCCTAGAAAATCCAGAAAGTAATAAAGGTATGTCAACACCTTCATTACAGCCCAGTGAAATCCATTTCAGAATTCTGAGCTCTAGAACTACAAATCACACCTTTGTGTTGTTTTAAGCCAATATGTTATAATAATCCGTTACAGCAGCAGGAGGAAATACATACACCTTCCTTCCATTAACAGATGAGGCCAAGTTGACTTTGTGCAACCCACTCTATCTTTGCAATTTACTTCCTGTAGTACCCAACTCTAATAATTTTTTTATCTCACTAAATCCTGCAATCTATTGATCCTATAACCTTTTCACTGCCTCTCATTCCACTCCCCTGTTTTTCCTACTTGAGCAGTTCAGATGACCAAGTGCTAGAATCACTCAACTGCAACTCTTAACTATACACTCTCAACTCCCATATCCCCTGAAAAAAATCCTAAATTCAGTTAAACCCAACCCTCTACCTATCTTGCACTTGAATCTACTGGTTGAATATGGTTGGAAAAAACACACAGTCAATATGATTGGTCTCACTTTAAATTCATGACTCTAATATCATGTGGGACCTTAGTGTGCCAGGAAATCCCTGCTGGGATTCCATGATCCTTCCCTCTCTAATTTTCCTGGGAGACTATTTCACAAATTATCTTCGCTCTGGAAACATCCAAATGCTCTTTCTCTGTCTTCACTCACTGCTGATTTTGTGTGTATGTGAGCTTATTTCTTATTTCATTGAGGAAACAGATGATCAGAAGACTTCTTTAAATCCCTAGCACCCTACATACCCACTCACCCACCCACATGTCTTCCCTCCCATAGCTGTGAACCATCAGTGAGGGCACCTACAGAAGCTCCACCCACCCCTCCATTGCAGGGAAGAGTCACCAGTCACGTCTCCTGTTTCTGTCTCCCTTAGTCCCGTGAAATCGCTTTTCCCATTCTCCACTGGATCACTCTCATCAGCATATAGACATCCTGCTATTTCTCCTGTCTTAGAAGAACCCTCTCTGGGCCCCCACGCCCCTCCGTCCCTGCCCTTCTCCTCTGCCCCCTAAGAGGTGTCTGCACCTCTCTCCTCCCATCTTCTCTTGAACTCACTACAGTAGGGTTTTTGTCCTCTCCTCTCCCCTGAAACTGCTGTTGTTCAAGTCACCAAGCCCTGCCCACCACCGCCGCCAAGGCTAAATCCAGTCATCAGTTTCTGGTCCTCATCTTACCTGACCTATCCATAGCACAATCAATCTCTGGTCTGGATTCTTGCAAAACATCTCTAACTGGGTTCCCATCTCCTGCCTTTGGGACCCTGCCGTCTACTTTGTACTAGGCAGTGGAGGATTTCTGTTTCATTTTGGTTTCAGTGAGTCAGATCATGTTGCTCCTCAGCTAATCACACTCTAATCACTTCTCAGCTCACTCAGGTAAAAGCCAGACTCCTCTCAGGGGCCTTCAAGTGCCACATAAAACGACCTGAGGCCCCTGCCCTCATCGGCAGACATGCCCCGGGGCTTACATTGTTATAATAATCAGGAAGCCTCAGACTTCCTGGTGGCTCTTCAAACTCACTAAGCACCTTTCTCCCTGGGAGCCTCTGTCCATTGGCTGTGCCCTCTGCCTTGAATGAGCTTCCCCAGAGGCCGGTGTGGGTTGTTCCTTTCTCCTTCCAGATCTCTCATCAACGTGGCGTTCCTGACACCCTCCAACTCAAAGGAAAACCACCTCCTGCTCTGCCCTGGCCCTACCTCTTTGTTTACCTTACATTTTTCCCATGGCTTGTAACATTATCTGAGACTATATATATATATAAAATATTATTAAGTTACATATAATAAATTATATGCTAGTACAGTCCTATGCCCCATAATGACAGTCAGTGATGGAATGCATACAGGACATTAGTTCCGTAAGATTCAAATACTGTATTTTTCCTGTATCTTGTCTGTTTAGATATGCCTAGATACACAAATATTTACCACTGTGTTCCAGCAGCCTAATGGCATTTAGGAGAGCCACATGCTGTACAGCTGTGTAGCCTGGAAGCTATAGGCTATACCACACAGCATAGGTGTGTAGTAGGCTAGACCATCTAGGTTTGTGTACACTCTGTGATGTTCACACAATGACAAAATGGCCTAACAATGCACTTCTCAGAACATATCTTCATCATTAAGTGAGGTGTGGCTGTAGATAATATATTAATATAATATATAATATTGTTATATATACAATGTTTATGTCTATGCATCTATCTATATGCATATGTCTGTCTACATATGCATGCATAATTATTTCCTTCACCAACTAAAATATAAATGCCATTGAGGCAGGGAGTTAGTTTTGTTCCTGGCTATATCTCCAGCACCGAGAAAAGTGCCCTGTGTACAGTTGAATAAATTTGTTGAATCAATGAAAGAAGAAATGAATGAATGAATCTAAGTAAAGTTGAACACACACTCAGATGGATCATAGCTTGCCTGTAGATCTTTGTTGTCATTGTTTTACAGCCAGGCAGGCAAGATGAGCTTCTCTTAGCTTTGTGTGTGTTAGCTTCAGCACTTACCAAATATTGGTAAGTTTGGTCCTGGGAGTCAGTCTACCTAACTAATGTGTTTTAAACCTCAAGAGGCATCTTCTCCAGGGAAGTCCTAGAATCCTATGATGTCATGACTACCTAGATTTCTTTGTGGTCTTTTGACAATCTTCCCTTAAATGCACCCTTCTCAGGGGATAAGAATAAGGAATAGAAGCTAATTATTGATGTTGTCAGTGAATGTTTTCTTGGATACATGTGAAAATCATTGCCTTTTTTCAGGAGAAGCTTACCAGGGTAAAAAAGCTCCACTGTGAAAGGGAGAAGCTCAATTCTAAAACACCATTTGAAAATCCCATTTGTCCAATGAACAGTGTATAATGATTGGAATGGCCTAATGCCATTCTTATATTTACTAATGGATATGTGGAAACACATACTCCTAGAAAAATTAAGCCAGTTAAATTTTTCTCTTTCCTTTTTAACTTCTATAAGCCTCAACAACCCAAGACTGTAGGATACATTTATAGCTGGTCTATCATAGCTATTTTCAGTTTTAACCATTCCATGTTTCCATCCTCTCACAAGGAAATGTTAGCAATTCATAGTTAATCTGGGCCAGGAGCAGAGAGAATTTTTTCCGTTTCCTTATTTTGAGGTAAAGGAAACATTTCTGTAGAAACATATGTTTTTGGAAACACTGGACTTAGAGAACACTTTGTGGTAGAGAACTATGAAATCTTGGACAGACAAACACTGCACTACCTTTATTAATCCCTCCGAGTGAAAGAGTGGATACAGCACATGTCATGGTGGGAAACTGAGGTTTGCTAGGCCTTAGACAGTGTGTTTATGACCCATTCAAGGGATCTTAAATGGTAGATAAGTTATTTTCAATCTTTCTGTAACTCTAAACTGCAGGAATGATGATGCATGATAGCTGACGAACAATGGTGGCTGTTAAGAATTCCATTCATTGGGTATTAATAGCATCAGGATTATAACTGTCTTACACCCTGGCTTATTTCATAATCTATTTCTGGACTTGCAGATTTGGAGATTTGCCAGGTCTGCAACCCTGTCAGCTTTGACTTGATCAGCGGGAGCCAAGTGCATTAACCCCTAAGATTTAACAGAGTGATGGGGCTGGAAAAGGAACCTTAAGTTTGTTGGAACCCTGCACAAAAGGAATTGTACAGTCTAGATAACTATCTGTGAGAGGTGCTAACAACTGGAGAAGAGCTTAACGGCTTGATATGGGAATTCAAAGAAGTGTATGGCAAGATGAGTGTTAACTAAAAAATATATCATTCATTCATTTATTCATTCACTAACAAAGCTATAATTAGGAAACCTACCTTGTGTTTGGCAAGTGGCAGACAGCAGGTGTGCATGGCAAAATTATTTTGTGAGATAGAGATTTAAGAAGGCCACAAGTGTGGTGAGAATTTATCCAAAAGGGTCTGGTTCCACTTTTTAGTTGCTTGACCTTGGATAAGTTGCTTAACTTTTCTGAGTCTGTACAATGGGAATAATAACTCCCAGGTCAAAAGATTTCTGAGGATTTAGTGAGACAATTCTATGAAGAGTAAATAAGACAGTGACTTGGAAAGCATCTCACATGGTTCCTGGTCCATGAAAGGCATTCAACAATATAGGTTTCTGTCCCCTTCTCCCAGGAAGGGTGTGCTAGTCCATTCTACATTGCGATAAAGTGTGGGGGTCCGGCACGTCTGCCGGGGGGCTTCTGACCTGTGGAGAGCCTCAGCTCCACTCAAGTGTTCTTAACCTGGAAGAGGGAGTGCGCGGAAGAAAAGATAGACAGAGAGCAGGGTCTGGAGGACTGCCAGGCAATGCGGGAGCAAGAAGTGCCAAGACAGCAAGTTTATTTGTGCAAACTACAGGTTATATACCTTTCAGTGTTTGAGGAGTGATGTACATTCCATTGTATCTTGAAATAAAGTCAAGAACAAAAAATCACAAGAAAAGGGGTATAGAAAGTATGACTCTTAATCAAAGCGTATACAGCAAAGGGACAATAAAGCTTACAAAAAGGGGATCATAAATCTAAACGTGTTTTTCTAAAATCAGTTAAGCAAGCAAGTAAGATTGTTAACAAGGTATAGCTGGACCTTTCCAAATGTCACTCTAACCTTGCCTATTCATATAGAATCATATGCAAACACTATGATTGAGTTAGCAGAGGTAAATGAAGTCATAAAGTTGTTGTGCAGAGAAGGAACTAGGAGGCACACAATGTCTACCCATACAATGTCTCATTAGACCACAAGGCCTGAGCTCAGCCATTCTGTTGCAAATGTCAGAGGCAAAGATTGATGTTTATAAAATCAGTGCAACCAGACTTCCTCCTTTCCCTTAGCTCAACAGCCTCCAGGAGAGGAGAAATGTGTATGGGCTCAAGCTCAAGATGGCGAGGATCCTGTCAAGGGCCCTTCGCAGGAGCGATCACCACAATAAAGGAATACTTGAGATTGGGTAATTTATTTTTTTAAAAGAGAGGTTTATTTGGCTCACAGTTCTGCAGACTGTACAAGAAGCATGGTGCCAGCATCTGCTTCTGGTGAGGGCCTCAGGAAGCTTCCAATTATGGCAGAAGGTGAAGGGGGAGCAGGTATATCACCTGGTAAGAGAAGGAGCAAGAGAGATGCCATGGACTTTTAAACAGCTAGGTCTTCATGAACTCACTCATTACCATGGGGAGGGCGCCAAGCCATTCATGAGGCATCCACCCCTATGACCCAAACACTTCCCACTAGGCCCCATCTCCAACACTGGAGGTCACATTTCAACATGAGATTTGGGGGCAGGACAAAATATCCAAGCCATATCAAAGGGAAATGGCTCTGAGTGATCCCAAGGAAGGTAGGAAGGTGTCGTGGGAAGCAGGTCTGGCTCTGAGAAATGGCACTCCTGGATTCTGTGTGTGTATCTGTCTGCAGTGCATATAGAGAAACACCCCATGTTTCCCATGAAATGCATGACTCAGTGTTTGGGTTGAAGCTCGCAGACCTTATAGGTTGGCCAATGGTGTAAGAGGAAAAGTTTGAATTGTGACTTACAAAAATGTCAACTGTAAATGCAGGCTTTAAAATGGAATTGTATGAAATAAGTCATTATCCGAAAAAGACAGTTGCACACATATGTTTATAGCAGCAAAATTAACAAGAGCAAAATCATGGAACCAACCCAAATGCCCATCAATTGAGTGGATAAAGAAACTCTGAGATATATATATATATCTGAGTAGTATTCCATGATATGCAAAATGTTGAATATATATATTTCATGGAATACTACTCAGCCATAAAAAGGAATGGATTAACAGCATTTGCAATGACCTGGATGAGATTAGAGACTATTATTCTAAGTGAAGTAACTCAGAAATGGAAAACAAAGCATTTCTCACTGATGTGGGAGCTAAGCTATGAGTATGCAAATATGTAAGAATGATACAATGGACTTTGGGGACTTAGTTTAAAACTGGGGGGGTAAGAGATAAAGGACATCAAATACAGTGCAGTGTATACTGCTCAGGTGATGGGTGCACCAGGTTCTCACAAATCTCCACTAAAGAACTTACTCATGTAGCCAATATCACCTGTACCTCAATAACTTATGGAAAAATAAAATTTTAAACAATTGTGTCGTTATGTAAAGTGAGATGCTGGAGAAGAATGTGCTTTGGTCGTTTCTGAAAGTCTCCACCAACTGCAGTTCAGACAACATTTTTTATTGGCATCTCCCAGTGTCAATAGGACATCACTACCAAAGCTGGAGTCTCTGTATGGTCCCACAGCATAGCAAAGAGGTGCTAGAAACAGACACCCCCTGTGAGCCCACTGCCAGCAGCCAGGGCCACCAGCAGCACTATCAGCAAAGTGGGTGTCTATACTGCCTCTTGCCTAGTTCCACAAGCAGTTTCCCAGTGGCTTGTGGGTCACGTAGATTATCTTTCAGGTCCCTGCCAGAAGGAACCTGAGCCTCAAAAAAGAACAACAACAAAAATCAATCCAAATAGTGTCCTGTTTCTAAACTGTTTTGTATTTTTTTTTTCTTTTTTGGAGATAGGGTCTTGCTCTGTTGTCCAGGCTGAAGTGCAGTAGCACAATCATAGCTCACTGCAGCCTCACACTCCTGGGCTCAAGCATTCCTCCCACCTCAGCCTCTCAAGTAGCTAGGCGTACAGGTGCACAGCATCACGTTTAGCTAATTTAAAATTTTTTCTTTTAGATGCGGAGTCTTGTTAGGTTGCCCAGACTAATCTTGAATCCCTGACCTCAAGTGATCCTCCCACTTTGGCCTCCCAAAGTGCTGGTATTATAAGCACGAGCCTCTACACTTGGAACCAAACAGGTATCTGTTAAACTGGCTCTGCCTTCATTCACCCTTTGAGCCTGAGAGTGAAAGGAGGACTGTGACTGGCCAAGTCTGAGCAGAAGGAAGGAACCAGCTCTGGGATCCAGCCCACCCTTGCGGCTGGTACACTGGGGCAGGTTACTCAGACTCTGCAGGTAATGAGGCTGAGCCTGAGGCTGTCTGCTTGTACGATGGGGGAGAAATGGTCACAGCCCATGGTTCATTGAGCTGTTATGAGGGCTAAATGGGCTAATATGTGGAAGGGATCAGGAAAGTCCTCAGTGCCTCATTGGACTTCCTAAGTTAACTCTCACTGATCCACTGGCTGAGGAGTTTGCTTGTCACAGCCTGAGAAGAGGCAGCTGTCTGCGTGGAGCCACTTAGACACTTGAGGCCCTTTATGTCATGAATGGGATGCAGCAAAGAGTGGGGTGAGAAGTACCTGGTGAGATTGGCCACTTTTTGGCTTTGGGACCTTGGGCTTGGCAATTAACCAAGCCTCAGCTTTCTCATCTGTGAATGGGAATGATGATATTACTTAAATCATAGGGTTGTTGAAAGGATTTGAAAAAGTACTTATAAGTTGCTTATCTTTGTAACTTGGCGCATGCTCAGTAACTATGCACTCTTCATCATCTTATTGTCATCATCACCATCTTTCCCATCTGGAACTCACTCTGCCCATTAGAACCACCTTAGGTAAGACAACCCACATAGGGATGAGTGAGGGGGAACCCCCCTCCCTTTCCTATTAATATGTGATGATGGGTTTGTACTTTAAGATAGTTGTTTCTCAGATGACCCCATGAAAAGCTGGGCAAAGGATATAAACAGACACTTCCGAAAAGAAAAAATACAAGCGGCCAACAAACACATGAAAAAATGCTCAACATCACTAATCATCAGAAAATTGCAAGTTAAAACTACAATGAGATATCATCTTACACCAGTCAGAAGGGCTATTATTTAAAAGTCAAAAAGCCACAGAGGCTGGTGTGGATGTAGAGAGAAGGAAACGTGCCAGGCGCGGTGGTTCATTCCTGTAATCCCAACGTTTTGGGAGGCTGAGGTGATCGGATGCTTGAAGTCAGGAGCTCAAGAACAGCTCAGGAGCTCAAGAACAGCCTGGCCAAAATGGTGAAACCCGCCTTTGCCAAAAAATACAAAAATTACCCGGGCATGGTGGCAGACGCCTGTAATCCCAGCTACTAGAGAGGCTGAGACAGGAGGATCGCTTGAACCTGGGGCGGAGGTCGCAGTGAGCTGACATCACGCTACTGTACTCCAGCCTAGGCAATAGAGCGAGACTCCCCTGCAAAAAAGAAAGAAAGAAAAGAAAAGGGAACGTTTACACACTGTTGATGGAAATGCAAATTAGTTCAATCTCTATGGAAAACAGTAGAGAGATTTCTCATGGAACATAAAAAACAGAGCTACCATTTGACTCAGGAATACCAGTACTGGGTATTTACTCAAAGGAAAATGAATCATTATATTAAAAAAGACACCTGTACTCATGTGTTCATTGCAGCACTTTTCATAACAGCAAAGTCACAGAGCCAACCTAAGTGGCCATCAGTGGATGACTGGATAAAGAAAATGTGGTCTATATACACCATGGAATACTACAGAGCAGTAAACAAAATGAACTCATGTCCTTTGGAACAACATGGAGGGAGCTGGAGGCCATTATCCTGAGAACTAACTCTGAAACAGAAAGTGACATACCACGTGTTCTTACTTACAAGTGGGAGCTAAACGACGGGTAAACATGGACATAAAGATAAAAATAATAGTCACTGGGAACTCCAAAGACGGGGAGAATAGGAGGAACGCGAAGGTTAAACAATTAAGTATCGCATGCAGCATTCACTATTTGGTTGATGGGTGCACTAGAAACCCAGTCCCCACCACTATGCAGTCTATTCATGTAACAAACATACATATGTACTCCCTGCATCTAAAATTAAATTAATTTTATAAATAGAAATTAATTAGACAAAAAAAACCCATAAAAATATAGTTGTTTCTGTGGAAGACCTGGAGTAGGGCACTAGAGTAAAATGGGAAGAGACCTAGGTTTGGAGACAAAAGCCCTGACCTGGAATGTTGGCCTTGCCCCTGCCAGCTTCGTACTCCTGAACAGCTCACAACCCCTCTGTCCCCAGCGGGATGTCTGAATGCATGGGAAAGGAGAAGGAGCAGACAAGCTTCCACGATGAGCCAACAACAAGGCCCAAGACATCAGCAGAGGTAGAAAGGCCCAGCCCAGGCCAAGGAGGTGGCCTGGGTGTGGCTGCCTGGAGGGAAAGTGCCTCCCCAACACCCTGAACCCCGGCCTGGGAAGGGATGCTGAGGTGACTGTCCTCAGCTGTGGCATCCCTTTGCCATTCTTTTGGGGGAAACCTCATTTTGTTCCAGGATCACCTGTGGAAGAGGTGGAGTGGCTTCTGGGTAGCTCCAGATACAGGACTCTACAGACAGGAGGGCAATCCCTGGGCAGAGCCTCACAGAGGGTCCTAGAGAAATACCAAAAATGTTGCTCTTCCTTTCTCCCTCCGCTGCTAGATTAATTGTCCTAATTATCAACTCATTCACTGAATTCTCAAACAAGGACCGTAAAGAATCCCTTTACACACCACTCTCTAGAAAGGTTAGAGGGAGAAAACTATGGTAACCGCCCCAAGACAATTAAAATGTGCTGCCCACCCCACCCCCACCCCCGCCCCAGCAGCTGTTGAAATGCCTCAGCCTCCCACTTCCCAAGCCTGGCTGGATTCCCCTACCCTGCATTCCTGGCAGGTCCAGGAGTCGAGAGAAAAATCCACCAGAACAAGAAGTGCCTGGGTGTTCTCCAGTTCCTAGCAGGTGGAAGGTGGGGCTGTTCTGATGAAAATGGTTTTGACAGACCTGAGGAGTTCAAGGGTGTTTCCCACTCAGCAGGCAGGGCTCTGCCAGGCAGTTCCCCAGAAACCCTGTGTTACGTTCTCGCGGGGACGTGTTTCCCTTTTTAAAATCAAGTCCTCACTCTTTTCACCTGTGTTGGCATCTGCCAACACCCATGGCTGCCTGACAGTAGAAAGCCTTGTGTGCAGCCCTCTCCTTTGATTTGCTCTGGAATGACTCCATAGAGAAGCCCTGGGTCAAGGACACTTCTCTCCCCATGTAATGCTGTTCGAGGCTTTGGGAGCTTACTTACATCTTCTCCAACATGTACTGTCAGGCAGGAAGCACATGACTTTTGCTTCGCATTTTTACCCAGAAATCACGGCATCGAATTTAGACACTAAATGACAAGTGCCATTTACCGTTATAAATGAATTGGGCCATTGCTTATGTTTTTTTTTTTTGTTTTTTTGTTTTGCCCCCATTCAGTCTCCATGGGGGAGAGTGTTTTTTAAAGCCTTGATGGTACTGATACTGATTTGCAGAGTCATTTGCAAGAACGATTGGTAAGTGAGTCAACTACAATGGCGACGATCAGCAGCTTCGAGGAGTCCACTTTACTAGATGCGACAGCTCTCTTCATGGCTTTACAAAGCGTTACAAGAAATAGGAACTAGGTTTTATAGGAATTCTAAATTGGACAAGGCACTGTGGTGGTGCAAAAAGAATTCTTACTCCCCTCTACTAAAAAATAAAATAAAATAACATGCTTATGGTCTCCATAGCTTGCCTTTCTACTTGCTATAAAATGCATGAACTGCAGGTGTGCCGATGCTTTTGTGCTCACCTTCAGCGTCTAGATGCTTGCTGTTCCTGATCACACTCAAGGTCCCTCTTTGTCACCTGCAGCTGTTGGTCCCATGGCTGCCTCTTGGACCTTGCACAGGGCAGGCTAGAGAGGAGGGAGTTGATGCCCCATAGCCCAGGAGCTATTTGCAGATGATAATGGAGGGCGGGGAGAATCCCTCTGCTTCCTGGCCTCTCCAGGGAGACAGCTCTGAGGTTGTTCCATGCCATTTCCCCAGGCTCCTGCCAGACTAGCCCGGTGCCTGCAGTATTTTCCCTCTCATTTACGTACCAAATCAGCTTTCTTTCCTTCCCTGTCTCATTGCCCACCCGCTGCTGCTCCCTGGGATGACACCCCAATGTGTCACCAGCCTCAAATCCTTGGTTTCAGGTGTGCTCCCAGGGGATGCAAACTAAGACACGAAGTCCAGTGTAGGACAGGTAGCAGGAGGCCCCTGAGAGCCAGCAAACCCTCCACTGCTTGCCCCATCCACACTTTGAGACCCTGCTCCAGAGCTCTCCCTGGCCTCCCTCACCTGCACCTGGAGGAAGCACTCTTGGCACTGGCTCCCCGTTTCCCCACTGCCCAGCCAAACCAGCCCCTTCACCTCCTCCAGAATGTCCTCCCACACTATTACTGTGAACGCTTCCTTTCTAGAAACTACATTGCATTTACAGAAGGTGCCAAGAATTTAGCACCCAATGTTACGATAATCCTCTCTGTGTCTGTTCTGCTTCCCTAATCAGACTGTCAGTTTCTAGAGGGCTGGGGATCATGGCAAGTGCTTTTTGTTTAATTCAGTTGGGTTTTGGGGTATTATCTCATTCCATGCCTAGCACAGTTCTGGGGACAGAGTAGGCACTTCATTACGATATAGATTCACTCAACATTCAGCAAATATGTATTGAGTACTTGCTATTCACCAGAGGCTGAGATGTATTTCTCCCAGATAAATGCTAGTTGGGATACAGACAATTAGCAAAAATAAATGACTAATCACATGGTATGTTAGGAAGTATTAACAAATACCAAGAAAATATAGTGGGAGGACTCAAGATATCCTCAGCTTGGGGCATACGGATGTTGTGATTTTATCTTTATGTATGTATGTATTAACAAAAATTGTTTATATTTCAGGTGAACAATGTGATTTTTGGTATGCCTATACATAGTGAAGTGATTACTACAATCATGGAAATGAACGTATTCTTCTCCTCACATAGTTTCCTTTTTGTGTGTAGGCAAGAACACCTAAAATCTCACTTTGCAAATATCTAGTACATAATATAGTATTATTAACTATCATCATCACAATGAACCATTATGTCTTTAGACTTATTTATCCTATATAACTGCAATTTTGTACCTTTAAACAACTTCTCCCCATTTCCCCCACCTCTGATAGCCACAATCCTACTCTTTGTTTCTCTTTGTTTCTGTGTATTAGACTTTTAAAGATTCCACATATAACTGAGATCATACAATATTTTTTTTCCTGCATCTGGTGTATTCACTTAGCATAATATCCTCCTGATTCATCTATGTTGTCAAAAATGGCTGAATCTCCTTTTTAAAGGCGAAACAACATTCCATTATGTGTGTTTATATGTAATAATCACAATTCCGTTAAAAGATCAAGGATAACACGTGTTGGTGAGAACAAGGAGAACAGGGAAGTCTTGTATCCTGATGGTGGGAATGTAAATTGCTACCGCTATTGTGGAAAACAATATGAATGTTCCTAAAAAAATTAAAAATAGAATGACCATATGATCTAGCAATCCTACTTCTCAATATATATCCAAAGGAGATGAAATCAGTATGTGGGAGAGATATCTGCATTCCCATGTTTATTACAGCATTCACAATAGCCAAGATATGGAAACAGCTGAGCTGTGATTTTAAAGTTTCTCCAGAAAATGGCATTGAAGAGAAGACCTCTGAACAAAGGCTCAAAGAAGAGAAAACAAGCTCTACATATATCTGGAGGGGGACTGTTCCAGGCAGCATGAACAGCAAGTACCAAGACCCTGAGATGTGAGCGTGTCAGATACCTCAAAGGGACAGCAAGGAGGGCACAAGTCCACAAGGGCCACAGTAATGGGAGGCTGGCGATGCAGGAGCCAGACCCTCAGGACCTGAGACCATTGCAAGGACTTGGGCTTTGCTTCTTAGATGGGGCAGGGGCTTTGCCGAGAAGTGACACCACCTGACTCTCATATTAGCAAGATCCCCCTGGCTGCTGTGCTGACAATAGATTCTAGATCTACAACGGGAAGCAGGAACACCCTTGACGGGGGTGAACTGCAACCTCATCTTGAGAGGTGAGGGCAGTTTGGATGGATGTTTCAGAGCCTACAGAATTTTCTGTTCAATTGGACATGGAGTACGTTAACTTAAATGCCTTGGTTTAGGTAGTATCTCTCAGGTTTTTCCACCGTAAATGATTGCTTTTCCTTCTGTAATTTGTAAGTAATTTGTGGGGAGCCATGCCCAGATGATGTAAATATCCTCTTTCTCATCAAACTTTTGCCTGCTATCCTAAGCATTCATCGATACTTTTGCTTGAATCAGTTTTTACTATGATAGTTGTCAAATGGGGATTTTACGAACCCTGTTATTCATTCATTCATTCATTCTACATTCATTAATTGGTACTCCATTGGAAGGAAGCTTTTCCCTCTTCCTTGATTATTTAAATGAATGTGGATTCATGTGTTCCTATTTTGCTCACCAGGTTACCATCTGTTAATATCATGGTATATTTTGATGCTCAAAAATGTCCCAGATTTTTTGTCAGTGGGACCCATTTCAAGCTGGCTCCTGTGTCCATTTGACATATCTCCATCATTCTTTCAGCACAATACCATGTTCCAGGCTCACGATAGGCTCTTTGTGTCCTATACCTGGACTCGCTGTTTCTCCAAGGAGTCCTAGTTCCTTTTAGTAGAGAATGGTATTTAAAACCAAGATCTGGGCATATTATGTATTTTTAAATTATGGGTTTTTTTTTTTTTTTAGTCCTCCTTGCTACTGCTAAAATAAGAATTCGTGTATCTTCATTTTAACAGTTAAACTTTACCTGAGCCCAAAGGAAAACACATGAAATGTTAGAAGCTGTCAACTTTAAGATGCTCCTCATATTGAGACATGAAGTAATGACCATCACAAAATCTGAAGTGAAGCGTCTTGCCACAGCTGAGCTCATTTTGTGGTATTTAACTATCGCAGGACACCATGGTGTTAACACTCTGTACTTACCCTAGAGTCATTCACTATCTAGAAACAATAGAATATATTTAAAGTCTTCTCCATAAAGGGGAGCTAACTGTTCTTGGTTTTATTTTCTCTATGCGTATATTACCTTTTATATTTCCACCATGTGGGTGAAAATGGATAATGACTGGAAGAAAGAGACCTGAACAAGGCCACTCAAGCTCAAGGATACCCTTTTTTATCACGATGGTTACTTAACTTCTTTTGAGCTTTTCTCTCTTTCCAGGTACTAAGAAATATGTAATCATTATAATAATAGCATGATACAATTCATGAATGACTTTCACTTATGCTATCTCAGCTGACCTCATGACAAAACCTTTTAAAACAGGCAAGGTCATTGTTCATATTCAGTTTACCAATGGGAAAGTACCAAAGCCGTGCTGACTTTCCTAAAGTTGTATACATGGCAAATATGAACCGGACCAGTTTTCCTGATAGCACCCAGCTTGCTTTCCTCTGTGTCTTCAACCCTGGCTGCATATTTGAATTAAAAGACTGAGGACCAAG